AGTGTCCGAAATCTGTGGAGCACTGTGATGTCATAGAATGATGGCATTTTTAGACATACAGAAAACTAGAACTCTTGGTTCCAAAATGATACCTTTTATTAAACCAACTGGGAAATGGTAAGAAAATTGTCCTTTTCTGCAAGCTTTCGGGATCAACGTCCCTTCGTCAGGCTCTGGGAAAAGTGTAGATGGTAGTTTAAGAGCAGTCGCAGGTGAAAACTTCGCTGTTTCATACCTGCATGACTGTGACTTGCCACTAGAGGACTGGCAAGCAGTGGTGTAGACAGCAGCCAAGTCTCTATTTCCCTCCTGTTGTGGGAGAGGAGTGGAGAGGTTGGCATGTAGCTCTGAGGCAGAGAAACCAGCATGGGCTTCCCTCCCTCCACAGCCAGACTGGAGACTGGGAGGACAGAAATCCTGAAAAAACTATTTGAAGGGGGGTGGGGGAAGGGGTCATGTAAAGAGAAAGGAGTGAACAATATAAAGAAAATAAAGGACTAAAATCTTGCATGTGTCTCAGTGAATTGAGATTGGTTTACAGGGCGGGGAGCTCGGTTAAGAGCAGCAGATGGGGGGGGGGTCCTGCTGGCTGGGATGGGGGAGCTTTCCTGGCCTGAGGGACCGGGGAGGAATAGCCAGGGCACAAGGCTGAGAACCAATATGATCGTTGCATGACACAGAGCATATAGCAGGGCAAAGCTGAGGAACAGTGGGTTTGCTGGACCAGGGGAACTGAGACACAAGGAACTGGCTGGCCAGCAGTGGTGGGGGTGGCTGGTGTGGGTAAGAGGAGGTACAACCAAAGATGGAGACCCCTCAATATCAGCTCACCTTGGTCTGCATAAGTTCTTAAGGTTATGTAAAACATTTTTTTTGTAATTATTTAAAGCATTTTGGTTCTATAGAAATCATCAAAAACTTAGGGTTGGAAGGGAACTCAGAAAGTCCTCTACTTCAACCCCCTGCTCAAAGCAGAACGGTCCCCAACTAGATCATCCCAGCCAAGGCTTTCTCTCCCCACGTCTTAAAAACCAAACAGGATGGAGATTTCACAACTTCTCTGCGTAATCCCTTCTGGGTTTACTACCCTTCTAGTGAGAAAGTTTTTCCTAGTATCTAACCTAGACTTCCCTTGCTGCAACTTGAGACCACTGCTTCTTGTTCTGTTATCTGCCACCACTGAGAACAGTCCAGCTCCATCCTCTTTTGAACCCCCCCTTCAGGTAGTTGAAGGCTGCTATTAAATCCCCTCTCAGTCTTCTCTTCTCCAAAATAAATAAGCCAGAGTTCCCTCAGGCTCTCCTCAGAAGTCATGTGTCCCAGCTCCCTAGCTATGTTTGTTGCCCTCCACTGAGCTCTCTCCAATTTTTCCACGTCCTTTCTATAGCAGGGGGCTCAAAACTGGACACAGTACTCCAAATGTGGCCTCACCAGTGCTGAATAAAGCAGAATAATCACTTCCCTCGATTTGCTGGCAGTGCTCCTACCAATGCAGCCCAGTATGCCATTAGTCTTCATTACAACAAAGGCACACTGCTGGCTCATATTCACCTTATTGTCCACTGTAGCCCCCAAGTCCTTTTCTGCAGAGTAGCTGCTTAGCCAGTCAACCCCCACCCAACCTGTAGTGGTGCATGGGATTGTTCTGTCCTAAGTGCAGGACTTAGAATTTGTCTTTATTGAACCTCATGAGATTTCTTTTGGTCCATCCTCCAATCTGTCAAGGTCTCTCTGAATCCTAGCCCTACCCTCCAGTGTATCTAGTACTCTTCTTAGCTTGGTGTCATCTGCAAACTTGCTGAGGGTGCACTTTATACCATCTTCCAGGTCATTAATGAAGATATTGAACAAAATCAGCCCCAGGACCGATCTCTGGGGCACTCCACTTGATACTGGCTGCCAACTAGAAATCAAGCCATTGATTACTACCCTTCGAGCCCAATGCTCCAGCCAGTTTTCTATCCACCTTACAATCCATTCATCTAACCCTTACTTCCTTAGCTTGATGGTGAGAATATTGTGGGAAATTCTATCAAAAGCCTTGCTAAAGTCAAGGTATATCACATCCATTGCCCTGTCTCCATCCAGAGAGCCAGTCATCTCATCATAGACGGCAATCAGGTTGGTCAGACATGACTTGCTTCTGGTGAATCCATGTCGACTGTTCCTAATCACCTTCTTCTCCTCCAAGTGCTTAGAAATGGATTCCTTGAGGATTTTCTCCATGATTTTTCCTGGGACTGAGGTGAGGCTGACTGGTCTGTAGTTCCCTGAATCCTCTTTCTCCCTCAGTCTGGCTTCCCAGGGGATCTTGCCCATCAGTTCCCTGAGTGAGCTGATGTCTGCTTTTCTGAAGTCCTGGGTCCTTACCATGGTTTGAATTGAGGCAGCTCAGGGGGCTGAGTTCCCCCAATAAGAGACAACAGGCCCCCTGTAAGACTTGAAAATCATAACTTGTGGGTCCTTACCATGGTTTGAATTGAGGCAGCTCAGGGGGCTGAGTTCCCCCAATAAGAGACAACAGGCCCCCTGTAAGACTTGAAAATCATAACTTGGGGGGGGGGGGGGTCTCAAATTTTATTAGGGCATTGCGATGGGCAACCCAATTTTTTTTTTTTTTATTTTTTTATTTTTTTTTTTACAGATTCCCCCAGGAGTCAAAGTGTAATTCAAACCCTGGTCCTTACTCTGTTGCTCTCCTTCCTTACTTCCTTTCCTCAGGATCCTGAACTCAATCATGTCATGGTCACTGCTGCCCAAGTTGTCATCTACTTCTACATTCCCCACCAATTCTTCCTTGTCTGTGAGCAGCAGATCAAGAAGAACATGGCCCCTATGTGATAAGGATGAATTATAAGGTATCTTAAAAGCATATTGTATAGCATATATGCATGTAGTCTGCATTAGGTTAAACAAGACAAAATATTGCTCTCCCCAAGTCCCATTAGCACTGCTCACAAGTGGATATTTGGAACAGACTCTGTCTTCAGATTACAATAGATGTATACATGTGCATAACAAAAGGGAGTGGATGTCATTTTTCATAAATGGGTAGAAATTTCAGAATATGATCTTTATATTTGGTCTCTGGATTTGGCTTATGCACTTAGCACTGACAATGACTTAGTTTTTTGTGTTTTTGTAAAGGAAAACACTCTTTCATACAATATCTAATCAGTCTTATTTTCTTTGTTAAAACGTATTTCTAGACTATTGCTCATTCCGTATCCATCTTCAATACTTTGTTTGTTAGATGAGAGTATGGCAGAAGGTGCTATTTTAAGAGCCTCATTTGTAGCTGTCAGGCATTATAAAACTCAGTAAATACGATGAAAATGCTACTGACAGAAAAGAGATCTAAAGTCAGATTGAAATAGTGGTCTTTGAGTTTAACTCCTCTAAACAGTTTTCTTTTTTTCCTTGGAGGAAGGAACAATTTATGATGGTAATTGGCTTTGGATAGGTTTTGGATAGTTCCTGGTCACTAACTGCATTCGTGCTATCACTGAAAAGCAAATTTAATTGTAATAAGTAATGCAAACAGCATCTAGCAATGTTGCTCTTTATTTTAAGGTGAGCCACATGGCAGAACTGTGGTGGGTTTATTTAGTAGAATCTCTTCTCTTCTTTTGGAACTGGCTTCATTATAATTCCACCTACTTCAAGTCTTCTATATACTCTAAAAGTAGTATACAGAATCAACCCCATAGTGCATGCAACATCTGTATATTAAAGAAACTCTAACTCCAACCAGCATCCATATGTTCTTAAAAACAGCAATTTTTGCTGACATAAATAAAAAAAAATCATGTGCAGTTGTACCCCGGGCAGTACTCCAAGAGGTATCCCCTCTCCAACTGAAGGGATCAAAGCAGGTGCACAAGCGCTGTCGGAGGTGTAGGGACTCTCCTCCCCCTATAGAGTAGAGCCAGACCACTAATGGGGACTTAACCATATACCTTTTAATGAGAGAACAGTACTGGGAACATAACCAGTATAAACCAGGGGGTATAGGGGACAACACTACAACGCCCCGAGGGAGCAGGATTCAACAAAGGTTAGACACTTACAATCATAGACATATTTATCCAGTTGACAAAAGACAGGGTTAACCAAAATATAGAACACAAACAGCAGAACAAACCATACTGGTTGGTGAAATGTAAAAGGCGCAAAATACAAAATGTCAAATGACAAAGAATATAGGGCCTAGGTACCTGGAGGGGGGAGAAAGGGGAAAAACACAATGGCCCCTTTCCACTGCAAGAATTTCTCCCTGTTAGCTCACTCACCCAAAGTCACCCCAGTTGGGACTTGAACTCAGGATCTCCCAAGTAGTAGGCAGAAACTCTACGACACACCTACCAGTGCTGATACCATGCTAAGCTGCTAGGGGTCTTGGCCTTCCAGGAGCCCTGGCCTCATGTCGAGCTGCCTGGCCTCTTATTGGAGGAGCTGGAAGCAGAGCTGGGAACCTCTCAAGTTGCTGCTCAGATCCTTGCTGGAGCTGGGGAGCCTCTCCTGCCGGCCGCATGCCGCACTGCTGAGGACCCAAGTGCTGCCTGCAGGTCCCACTCCTTCAGGCTCTTCTGGTGCAACTGCTCCTGCCCCGCTGGCCCAGCTCTTGCCAGCTCCTTCCTTGTGGTCCCTCACTGGTCTCCCCTGAGTCAGCTGCGCTGCCCCTTTTATCCCCCTCCAGGTGACCCAATGGGCCAATCAGGGGACATGGAGGGTGAATCTCTGGGGCCTGATTGGTGATGAAAGGGAATCCTAAGTCCTCCAATCATCTTTTACCGCTTCAAAGCCCCTAGGCAAAATCATTACCAGATTGGTGAGGAAAGGGAATCCCAAGTCCTCCATCTTTTACCCTTTCAAAACCCCTGGGCTAAGTCACTGCCAGCTAACCCATCACACAGATAATTTTCTTTTACACAGCAACTATCTCTCTCTCATGAATCTGACTGTACAGACAACACGCACTAACTGGCATAACTTCATACCTGTGGTATAAATTGGAATCCACTGGTACAATTCATTCTTGTAGGGAACTGTGTCAAACTCACTGCATTGCATCTGACGAAAGGTTGGCATGCCTCCCTGACAAGGGCTAATGTTACACATGCGATAGCGTTTCCTTTCTCCCGTGCAGTACTTTCCTCCAAACTGTGGCCTAGAAGTGAAATATGAAGTTTTGAAGTGTTAGGGTCTGTTTGAATGTGAGATTTATTTTAACTTTGCATTTGCTTGTCACATCAACTGGACAGTAACATCTTTTAGATTCTGACAGGGTAAGCAGATAAATCCAAGTAGATGTGGGGCTCAGTACATTCACAACAAAGTAATGAACTTTGTAGTCAGTAGGAATGAAATGCACTCAGCACTTCACAAGTACCCACCTCTGATACTGTTGAGCTCATGAACTCATATGTATTGTTCGCTGTTTAACCAGAAGAATTAAGTGACTGAGTCTAAATCTTACCAACTTTGAATCAGAGTTCAAACTGGACAGATGAAATACTTCATGGGGTGAGAAACTGTTTTGTAGCTGAAACTAGTGTAACTGTTTCATTTCTTTGCTTCATTCTGCAATATCTGAAGCCAAACTGCAGTAATTTACTTCCTGTTCCATTCAAGGGTAAATTACTGTAATTTAGATTGACTTACTGTGGGTTAGGAGTGGACAGATGAAATAGTTACATCAGATAAACTGATGTAAACTCACAAGCACTAAATCCATCCTATCATTAAATAGTGTAATTGTACATTTGTCCTGAAGATCCTAAGTTCCATTTAAAAATGGTCTCTGAAAAATCTCCTTTATGCCTATTTATCTAGATGCAATAGACCCAAAGCCAGAGTTTCTGAAGTTCCAAAAGAAACTGATGTAGGTTCAAATGTGAGTTGTGGCTACTGAATACCCCTGAGGAGTAGGCGAATATTCTCTACCTCCTTATAATTATTGAAAATATTTTTATTATTCAAAGTAGTATCGTTAAATCATGTTTCTGATATCTGCAGTAATCCTGGAGGTGAAGTATACCATTTTCTCTCTTTGCTGGAATTAAGTTCCATGGAAGACAAGAAAGACTGAAAACCAGGATAAAGATTAAAAAAGACCAGGCTGGTAAATTTTAGATAAAATTGTTTTTATGAGGAAGAATACGGCTGACTGATTAACCTGCTGCAGTAGTTGCTGATTATGTGGTGAGATATAAATAGGTCTCTACTTCCATAAATACCCCTTCAATAGCTTTAAGACCTTAAACAACACACAAAAAACACTGAACAAAATGGCAACAAATTGTGTGTCGGACTTACTCTGGGTTACTGCATTGTCTCTCTGAACTCTGAACTCCTGCTCCACATGTCCTTGTACAATGGGACCAGGAGGACCAAGTACCCCATCCGCCGTTAATTGCTTCTGGATTCTTGCCCACTGTAATACACTCACGGGTGAAGCACCACTAAGAAACAGCAAATACAGACGGTCAGAAAATTATCAGTGGAAAATACTACAGTGGGTTGAATGCTTGAGGAGAAAACTAATTAGCTGTGTATGCTAAGAAGCACTAAATAGCCTTAGAGATGGCCTGCCAGTGGTAATACTATCTCATCCTATAATGAACAATTTGTCATGTGATAATTCCTAAGGAGAATTCTACTCCAAATGATGGGTTATAATTACATACATACATACATACATATATTTTCAATGTATATACATGTTATATATATGTAATAAATATATATGCAATATATATATATTAAAAAAAAAAGTCTGATCACCTCTGAACCTTAGTTTTGCTAACAAAAACAAGACAAGTTCTTTTAATTTCTCTTCATAAGATTGTTTCTCTGCTCCTCTAACCATCCAGTGGTCCTTCTTTTTTTAAATCTGGTGACCAGGGCTGTACACAATATTCTAAATGGGGTCTTACCATTGACCTGAACAGGGATATGACTGCTTTCTTGTTTCTACTGAATATACTCTGCCCTGGAATTGCACTAGGTTTTTTCAAAGCTACATCATAATAGCTTTGAACCATAGTTGCTTATGGTCATCCTTTCATCAACAGTACACTGACATCCATCTTTTCCCTTCCTGTTTCCAGTACAAGAACTACTATTTTACAGCAAACTATTGCTGTTAGTCCCAAAGTGCATGACTTTGCACTCCATGCTATATTAATAAACAGTAACGGAAGTTATGCGTGGGTTATAGAAAGTTCTAGAAAAATTGGCCTGGTGTATCTTTTAAATACTGTGTTTCAGATTCTCAGCTGATGTAAATAAGCATAATTCCACCGATTTCAGAAAAGCTAAATTGCTTTTATGCCAGCTAAAGGTCTAATCTGATTATCAAAATACACAGACACAATTAGGGGACTCACTGTGCCACCTTAATGTATTTTTATGGACAAACATTACCATATTTTCTCACATACAACATGCTCTGAAACCCCCCCACACACAACTTGTTTTTGGAAGGCAGGATATAGAAAAAAAATATTTTTTGAGGCATAACCAGCTCTGTGACATAGAGTAACTGTTCCTGGGAACATAGTATGTCTAGGAAGTGTGGCATCAAGAACTTCTTGGTGCAAGCTGTCTCATCCAGACCATATCCTAAGATGCTACACTTCCTGGACACTGGGCATTTTTACATGTGCTGTGGGATGTGGCACCAGGTGCTTCAATTAGCCAGCCATGCTAATTAAGAGTACCCGCACATCACATGTGTCAGTGTCACCGTGTGTCCCCACGCTGAAAAAATGGCAGCAGGGCACTTTGAACTCAAGCTCATTGAACTCAGGGACTCATGGGACTCTTCAGCCTGGAGAAAAGAAGGTTCAGGGGGGACTTGGTGGCAGCCTATAACTGTACAAGGGGGGTGCAACAGGATCTGGGAGAACAGTTGTTCACCAGGGCTCCCCAAGGGATAACAAGATCTAATAGCCACAACCGTCTGGAAGGCCAGTTTAGACTACACATAAGGAAAAACTTTATGGTCTGAGTGTACAAGGTCTGGAACAGACTCCCCCCAGATGTTGTGCAAGCACCGACTCTGGACTCATTCAAATGGTATTTGGATGCTTCTCTTGCAGGGGTGATTTGACTCCAGCAGACTTCCTGCCTATGGCAGGGGGGCTGGACTCGATCTCGCAAGGTCCCTTCCAGCCCCTAATGTCTATGAATCTATGAATCTAAAGTGTGTTTTATTTCAAAGCATACTGCCACCATTTTTTCAGCATGGAGATGCACTGCAACGCTGATGCACATGTCATGAAAGGCTGCCAGAGCACATCAATTTCTGTGTTCCAGCAGACTCAATTAAGTGTCTGGACACTTACACACATGTGGTGAGTCTGTTCCAACGCACTGGAAATCCAGTGCATCAGAGCAGACTGAATTAATCGATTAATCAAGTCTGCTGGAGCATGTAATTGATGCGTCTGGTGCTGCCCCGGATACAGGTGCATAAGTAGTGCAGCACATGTCAGCACTGAGAAAATGGCAGGCAATGCACTTTAAACTAAAACACATTCTATGTGCTTTAGTTCAAAGCACACAACCGCCATTTTCTCAGCACTAACGTGTGTTGTGCCACTTATACACCTGCATTTCATGCAGCACCGGGTGCTTTTAATTAACACATATCACTAATAAAAAGAGTCCGGTGCTGAGTCAGCAGCACGTGTCAAAATGCCAAATGTGTTTTTAGGATGACTTACTCTATGGGTGTATCTACATGAGTCACATTAATGTGCATTAAACTATGTTAATGCGAATTGTGGGTGTGTATTAGGGCTGTGCGAAACAGCACTATTCTGTTTCGACTTGCCTTTCGACAGAACAGTGTTTCATTTTGAGTTTTGCTTAATTTTGAAAGCACTGTTCTGTTTTGTTTTGATGCTGTTTCGACATTTTGCCTATAGGCTATTCTGCACCCAGCGCTGGGAAGATCCTAGCCCCAGCCAGCAGCACCAGTCTCCAGTCATCCAGCAGGCAGATCGGGGGCCTGCACCCCTGGGAGCAGTCTCGCAAAGCCCCTGCAGCCCTCCTGGGGGGTGCAGGCAAGCCCCCAATCTGCCTGCTGGCTGGGGCCAGCGGCAGCACTGATCTTCCTGGCACAGGCTGCGCCAAGCAGGATTGGGGCAGGAACAGGTTCCCACATAAGCTGATTTGCCCTGGGCCCTGCACCCTCTTTGGGTCGACTCTGGCAGCAGCCCGCACCCAGTACCGGGTGCCAATCTTCCTGGTGCTGGGTGTGGGCTGCTGCCAGAGCTGACCCAAGGAGGGTGCAGAGCCTGGGGCAAATCAGCTCAGGCGGAGACCCGCCCCCCACCCAATCCCACGTGCCCTGAATGTAAAGAAGCTGCCGCTGCCACCACTCACTCCCCCCACACCAACCTGCTGGCACCACTGCTGATGGCGACAGCGGCTTCTTCATATCCAGGGCGTGTGGGATCGAGGCGGGGTCGGGTCCCTGCATGAGCTGATTTTCCCTGAGCCCGGCACTCTGCACCCTCCTCGAGTCGGCTCTGGCAGCAGCCCGCACCCAGCACCAGGAAGACTGGCACCCAGCACTGGGTGCGGGTTGCTGCCAGAGCCAACCCAAGGAGGGTGTGGGGTGGGGGCCCGGGGCAAATCAGCTCATGTGGAGAGCCACTCCTGCCCTGATCCCATGCACCCTGGATGCAAAGAAGCTGCCGCTGCCACCAGTGGCAGCACTGGGCAGTGGGTGGGGGTAGCGAGTGGCTGGACATGAAGATGGTGGCGGCGGTGCAAAGTCACCACAGCCACTCGGCCTGGCTCTGCAGGGCCCCCCAAAACACAGGGCCCAGGCCAGTCGCCCTGATTCACGCCCCCCTAGGGACAGCCCTGGCTCCCACAGCCCCAGGCAGCAGAACCAGCCTCCTGCGAGCCAGCGGGCAGATTGTGGGTTCACCCGCACCCCTGGGAGGGCTGCAGGGGCTGTGCCAGACTGCTCCCAGGGGTGCAGGTGAGCCCATGATCTACCTGCTGGATGACAGGAGGCCGGTGCTGCTGGCTGGGACTGGCACTGAAGCAAAGTAAGCCTGGCTTCAAAATTCGAAACATTTTGAATCTTTCAAAACGTTTCAAGTGCCCTTGCTTAATTTTGAACCTGTTTCAAAGGCTTTTGCTTCATTTTGATTTCACTGTTTCGAGCTTGAAACACATTGAAACATCTTTGAAACAAAACATTGGGCAAAATTTTGCACAGCTCTAGTGTGCATCTACACGTGAATGCCCTCAATGCACATTAATGTAGGCTAATCACGCCTACATTTGATACCGGCAAATGCAGGTATAAAGTTTAGGCCTGATTATTTAATACGCATTAACGCATCTTGTAGACACAACCTGGAACTAACTTTAGTGCAGGATCTGCCCTGCCACTAGGGGTGCCAGCCTAAGCCTCACCCCAGGGAATATCCAGCCCCTGATCTGGGGCCCTGCTCCCTAGCATCCCATTCCCCCACCCACAACCCCACACTCTGAGCTTGAAGACTCAAAATATTGTAAATATTGTAAATCGTTTTCCCCTTGTGTATAGTTTTTCCCTTACATATAGTTTCTGACTTGTAAGTGGGTTTTTTATTATTGGTGGGTGGGGAGGGTGGTGGAGGGGCTCTGTTGGTTGAGGGGGGAGGGATGGGGATGGGCATTGTGAGGGTAATAAAGTATTTTTTGTTTCACCCATGTGCATGTCACTGGTGCTGGGGCTTGACAGGGGATAGGGGGTGTGTGGACGGTGGGGCAGGTGGGCTGGAGTGGGGTGTGCAGGAGGAGGGGGTCAGCCAGGTCCTCCCACAACCAGTGCCCTGGGCCGTGCTGGTGGGTGCATGGCTGTCCTGGGGCCTGGATTGGGGGGAACCTCCTGGGGCCAGCAGGGCCAGCACCATGACCAGCAGGAGTGTGGGGCACTGGTCAGCACTGGCAGAGGCTGGGCTGGAGCAGCAGGGCACCGGGCATCGCTGGCAGGGGCAGGGACAGGGGCAGGAGTAGGGGCAGACGCTGGAGCAGCCCTGGTGCAGGCATGCAGGGTAGGCAAGGAGGGCACTGCTGCATGCTGCTCCTGAGCTGGATACGTGGCTTCTGGGCAGGGAAGGGGCTAGCCAGGGATCAGATTTTACCAGATGGCTGCTAGGTGCTGGCAGCTGGCTCTGGCTTCAACATGGCTGCCAAGAGCTGGAAGCCATGTGGCCAGAGATTGGAGCTCCCCACAATGGCCACAGGGACACATGGCAGGGCTGCAGAGACTTGGGACTAACTTTAGCCCCAAGTCCTGCAAGTGTAGACACCTGCCAAAAATCACTTAATGCGCATTAGCTTAATGCCTATTAAATTTAGTTGCACTTAAATGTACATGTAGATGTGCCCTATGTCACACAAAATTAGGCTCTAGGCCCCTTGAAGAGGCAGTAGTGAGATTTCATTG